TATATATATATAATATAATATATTTTCACATAGTCTTATATTTTCTATTATATCTTTAGAATATTATTTTATTATTTTTATTCTATTCTGTACTTTTTGCACTACATTCCAGTGTGCTGCTGTGTCTGACTTGAATTTCTCCTACGGGGATCAATAAAGGAACATCTTATCTTATCTTATCTTAAAAAAGGGGTCCCTTAAAGAAGAAAGTAGGGAACCACTGGGTTAGATGGCCAACTATTGCTTTTGTCATTGTTTTTATTTACTTGGCAATCTCCATATACGTCTATCACAGTGACCACATGTTTGCATCTCTTTAATCTTCTCCCACCTTTTCCTTCTTCTCCTCTTCTTCCAGGATCGTGGTGGTTTCTGTTTGACGTATGAGGCTTCAATGACCCGTCTGTTCAGGGAGGGCCGGACAGAGACTGTTCGATCCTGCTCCAACGAGAGTGCTGCCTTCGTCAAAGCTCTAGAAGATGGAGAGGTACTGATGACTTTGATTCAGCTCTCTGTCAGGTCTTTAAAGCAAGTGCTCCCACAAAATGTCCTTCTGACCCAAACTCCAGACTAAAATCCCCACATTGTCATAGCAGATTGCTTTGACCAATCCACTGAAAGATAATGGTGTCTGATGTGAGGCCTGAACTAATCTGGGAATAAACACTAATTGAAAGTTAAGGCTGTTTTGTGCTGTATTCATAGATGATTTATAGTTAATTTTATTTTAGGGATGTCAGTGAAAGTGTGATTTGGGTTGACAGGCAGAGGAGCAATGCAGGCGTCTCTTCAGACTGGCTTCGGAGAGGCACCAGAACCTTTATCGAATGGCAATGACTGGAGCTGGAATTGACAGACACCTTTTCTGCCTGTATGTGGTCTCCAAATACTTGGGGGTAGAGTCACCCTTCCTCAAAGAGGTATGTCTTTTCTCAATGATATACACAGAAAATCAAGACTTAGCAGAAGGGTTTGGACAAAAGTGTGCCAAATGTGGAGCGCATGCATGTAAAATGCACCTCAAATCAGTGGTTTATGCCTTGAATTGTGAACATGCGCACATGACAATACACATGACATCTTATGAAAAAAAGGGCATAAAAACATATAAAATATAAAAAAAAAAAAAAAAATTAAAATGTTATATCTATGGTTAGGTCTGAAGTTGTTGATTTATATATGGCATTTTTATTACACTTACCATTTTGGGACGTAAGGTTAAAAAGTAAAAAAAAAATTTCGAATAATCATTGCTCCGAAACTAATAATGCATTCAAATCAATGTTGTTATCAATTATTGACCTAGTCAAGGCTCTAATAACCTCATCCCAAATATTCCACTTTGCACCTCATTTTTGGAAAATATTCATATTTTGTGTTTTTCCCATTGAGAAAATCAGGTGTTTTTATGACAAAAAGGGCAAAAAACAAAAAAAAATCTATGGCCAGGTCTGAAGTTGTTGAAAAGATTTTATGTGGTGTAAGGGAAAACAAATATTTATATATTACATTTTTATTACACTTTTATGAGGGACCATTTTGGATCCCAAGGTTAAAAAGTGTATGTTCATTTTAAAGGTGCCTCAAGGTTTAAGTGTGGAAATCATTCCTACATGTGTGTTGACTAAGCAGGGATCATATTACTCGAGAAAGGTCTACTCAATGACTACTTAGATTAACTTATTATGAAATGATTATAATGTATTGTAACTATGAGAATGATAGAACACTG